CCAAAATGATTTTTGTCCTGAACTTTAAATTAATTTTTAAATATTTTAAATATTATATTTGTGAAAATAAAAATTATAAAAATTATTATTAAATTTTAAGTTCCTAAAATATATCTAGATATCAATTATATAAAAATTATAAAAATTTTAATATTAAATTGAATCATTCAAATTATATGTGGACTGTTCAAAATATATCTAAACAATCAATTTATAAAAGATATAAAAAATTTATATTAAATTAGATTGTTCAGATTAAATCTAAACTAGTAAGATTGATTATTAACAAATTTATTAAAAACTTGATCTTTTTTATGCATTTTTATTTTGATTAATATAAAATAAAAAAATTAAATCTAGATTGTCCAAATCTTGTCAGGAGTGATGTGTATGATGGTGCTCATTATGTAATGAGCACTGAGAGTAGTCCAAATTTAATATTAAAAATTTCTATAATTTTTATTTTCACAAATATAATATTTAAAAATATTTAAAAATTAATTTAAAATTGAGGGTAGAAATCATTTTGAAACAAAATAAAGGACTAAGATCACCTTATAGGTGATGAGTGTGAAATGCGAATTCGTAGAAAAAATTATCACAATCACATGTCTTTAGTAAAATGAATTTTCCAAATTAATCATATTTTCTAGAAGCATTAAAAAGTTTGGAAATATTGTAATTTGAATAGGATATGTTATCAATATCGGTCAATATATTCTATAATTTTAGATTACCAAGATAATGTATTCAATAATAAAAAGATTTTGGGATTTAAATTTTGAATTTTAAGTTAGACCTATTAAAAAAATTAATATATAATGATTAGATAAAATTGTCAATTTAATTTGAATTTTTCCTCCACGTGTTAGTTACTATTTTATTCCAATTAAAATTATGAAACTCACAAGTTTGTATAAAATTCTAAGAGCAGAGATGTGTTAATAGAAATTTAATAATGAATAAAAGAAATAAAAAAACATAACAATTTTTTTAATGAAAAGTCCTTATAGTATTAAATCCAATTCCAAGCGTTTTGTTTTTTAAGTATGTTAAAAGGATACATTTTTAAAATATTAAAATTAATTATACAAATTCATATAACAAATAAGAATTTAAGTTTTTTTTTAATTCTCTTGATCCTCATAAGCCAAATCTCACTTGAATTTTAATATAATAAAACATACTTATTAAAAAATATTACTCCTTTTGTTAAAAATGTAAGGCATTTTTAACCTAATATCACCCTAATAAAGTAATTACCTACTTTTAAACTAACCCTATCTTTTTATATAATATTTTCACTTTAATTTGAATTTGAATATAAAAAAATTTAGATATGGTTCTTAGCTAGATTTTAATCTCATCTCTACATTTAAAGTATATAATCTAAATAAAAAAAATTTGAACCACATTATTTCATCATTATATAGTTAGATATCATATAATAAAAACACATACTTATTCAAAAAGTAAATTATTATAAGATTTAATTTTTTTTATTTGTATATTTAATCAAATTAATTTAAATTGTTTTTCACATTACCACAATTAAACAAGGGCCACAAGGCTTATTTGTGCAACTTTTTATTAATAATAGAGTTGAAAAAGCAGACAAACTTATAGATTATGAGTTGGCAAGTACAAGTTAAAAAGGTACTTTTTGGTGAGTTGTGATTTTCTCAACCTAGCCTATTAACCTGTCAAATATTTAAAAAAAAATTATTATATTACTGCTTGCATAAAAATAGTATTTTTAAAATTTATTTTTATTATCTTTAACATCATTAATAATAATTATTATTAAATTTTTATTATCTTCAAGTAAGAAATAAAAAAATAGTTAAATAGGTAAAAATAGGATGAAAAAGGAGAAGAAAAATCAATAAAATTTCTTTCTCTTCTCAAATCCTTCTACATGGTATTGCTGCAACTGATAAATATAATGAAATGGAAGTTCTATGTGAACGATGGAATATACAAGTGGTAGTTGAAAACAATTTAATAATAAAATTTTCTAACTCAATCAAATATGTACATGTTTTCTTTTTCTAGATCTCTAGACTTTCATTTTGAAAAACCAAAACATGCATACACAATAATAGTAAAAATGAAAGGACAAAGATGCTAGAACAAAATGAAGAATAATATTGGATGAGGAAGGAATGAATAATTATTAAAGAATAATATTTGATGAGGAAGGAATGAATAATTATTAAATAATAAAAAATTTTAAAATAAAAAAATGTTAAGTGAGTTTGCTTGTAGGCTGGCGAGCTCAAGTTAAATGATGCGAGCTAGTCATAACTAAGTTTTAGATTATGCAACCCAACCCATCACTCTTTGGTAAAGTTGGGCTCAAAGTTTCATCTCATATTACCAACTCTAATTGAGATAAAAAAAAATACTACAATTTAATAGGAAAAGTCTCAAAGATTATGAGCCTATACCTTTACCTAATATGTCAAGTTTGGATGCCATTGGAAATGGATTAATAAGAAATGAATTATATTATGATAGGAGCTGTGTTGTATGCAGAATTGACAAGATTGCTGTAAAGCCTAACTTCTGAGCAGAAGAAAATTTATGATAAAATAATTGATGCCATTGAATTTGATAAATCTCAAAGATTATGAGCTTAAACCTTACCTAACACGTCAAGCTTGAATGCCACTGGGAACGGATTAACAAGAAATGAATTAAATTATGATAAGAGTTGTATTGTATGCTGAATTGACAAGATTGCTGCGGAGCCTAACTGTCAAGTAAAAGAAATTTTATGATAAAATAATTGATACCATTGAATTTGATAAAGGTGTTAGTACTAAGAAGACGTATGTTTGAAGGAAACATTATGCTTCATTAATATCTAAAGGTAAAATAGTTCTTAATGTAGCATCAAACGGGATAGTTTTTCTATGGCTCCCAAGAAGACAAACAACTCACTTACTCACAATTTTGTGTTCCTCTTTTTATGATTGAAAGCACTATATTTAGCATGAAATGAGTGAGCAACTTAGTTGAATTGTTGGTTCACATGTCATTGATTATAAGGGATGAGGCTTTAATGGCATACAAGTTTTGTTTTAAAGCTTTTGACATATACTTAAAGAATATTCTAAAGCAACCCATTAGTTGATGATCTTCCCTCATGTTATTCTATGTGAGTTGAGAGAAGACATTATTTTCATACATTTGGGATAATTATCAACTTCTTACACTAGCAAGAGCCATGAGACTTATGAAAATAAATAATGGAGAATCTATTAGTACTTTTTAGGATTTTACTTATTGGATTATCTTAATTGGTGATGGGACTACTGCTGGAGTTAATAAATGATCTGTAGAGTGTGGATATTAAGACCTAACTAATTTGTTACTAGATAGTTCAAATAATTCAATAAAGTCTATTGTTGATTAACAATGTCTATAATTCTTCATATTTTAGAGATAGGGCTATCTTTGCCCCTTTAATGGCTGTGGTTGAAGAAGTAAACAGATATATGTTGTCCCTACTCCTTAGATAGGAAGTTGAATGCTTGAGCTCTAATAATGTGAAAGATGATGGGAATATTAATTCACTTAATGACTTATACTCTACAAACTTTCTAATTCAATTACAATGTTAGCCCTCCTGAATCATGAAATAAAGCTAAAACAACTATTTTAATGTGGAAAATTGATAAGTCTATGGGTTGCATAATGATACATGTCCCATAGTTACATGAAATTGGAAAAGCATGTTATTGCAGCCTAATAAATGTCCGGGCCATTTGTAGGGACAAAAGTATGTATATCATGTATTACTATGTGTCCATTTGATTCCAGATTATCATTAACTATGAGGAGGAGGTAGTTTTCTATTATGTTGGCCTTTGCCATGACCATTAACAAGAGTTAAGGCTAGAGCTTGTGTTATATTGGGTTATCCATAAGCAGTCATACATTGTTGTTTCTTGTGTTCGAAGCAAGAAGGGTTTAAAAATGTTGGTTCTTAATGAGGAAGATCACTTCACAAACATAATTGCTAATGTCATTTATAAAAAAGCCTTCAATAGTTTGATCTAATTAATTATGAATTTTTATTAATCCACTTCTCATTGTATCCATTCCATTCACACCGCATGCATTTAGTTTTTACTATTTACTTAGCTTTAATATGCATATGTAAAATTAAAGACAATAATTACATAGACCCATCACTTAGAGGATGAAGGTGTCTACTACAAGTTATTCTTTTAGGAAAGATTTTCATACAAGATTGATACTTAATTATACAACTTTTGTATAAGAAACCCGTTCATCACACAGGTATTTTACTAGTTACATTTAAAAAATTATAATTTTTTATTTAACTTTTACGATTTACAAAATAAAAGTTATTATTTCTTAAGTAAAAGTTATGACTAAGACTTATTATTTTGAGACAAAAATTATACTTAACAAATTGTGTTTTTTATTCAATTATTGTAATTTACAAAACAAAAATTAATATTTTTTAAATAAAAATTGTGATCTGAGCTTGTTATTTTAAATAAGGACAAAATAAATTTTTCACTTTAAAATTATTAACACAGAATTTTCAAAAAAAAAATCAGTGAAATTATGATATTTTAAAAGTTCAAATTTTCATTTATATATGTGAGGGGATTTTATTGTTATTTTTCTTATTTATATTTATTTTATAACAAATATTATTATTAATATTTTTAACTATTTAAAATCCACTTATTTTCTTTTAGTTAGATAAAAATATATTAAATATATGAAATTAAGTTTATTATTTTACTTCTTTTTTTTTGTTTTTTGCCTTGTCAATGTGGTTTGGATTTGGATGATTAGGATTGAGGGAGTTAGAGGGGAAATCAGCCCACCGGGTTAACGGGTTGTACCGATTAATTGGGTTAATCTGGTCGCAAAAAAACTGTCTCTCAATTGAATGGACGAAGGCCTGGCCAGGTTAACCGATTCGATAGACCAGTTTGGATCGGGTTCTCAATTCAATATTTTATATTATTATACAAGTCTCTCTCCGTAACAGAATAAACATTGTATATAGATGTAGATAGATACAGTCTAGATTTCTATAATTTCCGGTTCCCCTTCTTTAATTCTTTCACATGGTTGCATTTGGAAATCGAACGGAATGGAATATGATGGTGCAGAATGAAGTGAACATCTGAAAACAAAATAGAACCGTGCTTTCTACCTCCAACTCTCGCTTCTGGTTCCAAGCAGTGGATCGCCATTATAGCTATTAGAAGGTATCATTCGGGGTTCCACATATCTCCTCCAAATGAGAGTTTGGATTCGCTACGGAATTTTGGTTTATACAAACTGAAGAAATCCCATTGTGGAAATGCTTCATTATTCTTATTGCTTATGGTTCCCTTTCGTTTCTTAATCTTCAGTTTTTCATGTGTCATGTCTGATTTGTGCTTAAAGAAGCTTATTTGAGTTTTATCCTGAGTATACCTGCTTAAGTTTCCTATCGCTTTATGCCCCCTTTATTCTAAAATTTTCGTCTTTGATATAGTGAAAGGGAATCAACGTTCTGATCAGATGTTTTTGTCGTCGGGTGTCAATGATAGCTCCATATTAAAAATAATTAAAAAGAAGTACTCTTAGTTTGCATGATGGTTTTGATGTTCTCAGATTCTCTGAACTGACATGATAAACTTAACGTTTCTTTATGTTATGATAGACATTTATCTTCTTTAAGAAACTACGAAAGCTTTAGAGTACAATAACTTGTTCAATAGAATTGGGTTGTTGTGTCTTCATAATGCATGCACTCGTTGCTAAAAGAAATTGTTATTGTAGTGCCAGGGAATGAGTAAGCTGCTGTTTCTTGATCTTCTTCCATTTGTAGAAGCATCAGAGTGCTGTTTATCATTTCAATAATTTAGGTCAGATATTTAATATTAAAAGACCCAAGGATGACTGCAGGGAGAAACATGACAACTCAACAGCTGCCAAAAAAAAGAGTGGCATTTGTGTTGATTGATGGGTTGGGTGATGTGTCACTGCCAATATTCGGATGCAGGACTCCTCTTCAGGCTGCAAAAGTCCCCTGCTTGGATGCCCATAGCATCTGCTGGAGTTAACGGACTTATGGACCCTGTTGAAGTAGGCTTAGCTTGCGGAAGGAAGCGATACAGCTCACCTCTCCTTGTTGGGTTATGATCCTAGAGTTTATTATCGTGGTCGAGGTGCATTTGAATCCATGGGAGCTGGACTGGCAATGTCACCTGGTGATATTGCTTTTAAGGTTGGCTTGTAATTTACTTCTTCCTCTAACAGATGTATCGAGTCTTTTTCTCCCTTTTATATCACTGTCCTTGTTCTCATGAATCTAATGAATGCTTTAGAAACTATCATATATCCTGGATGCATTTTTGTTGATTGATGCTTTATTTGATACTAGAGCGCCCCCATGATCTGTTCCTTTATGTTAGGATCGCTAGAAAAGATTTGTTTTGATATTTCTTGAATAGCACATATAGTTACTCTTAAGTTGAAAATTCTGTTAATATTTTTTCTTGCTTCCTTGCATTTCTAGACAAGGGGACCTGTGATAGTAATTCTTGCTTCATAGTTACTGCAAATAAATTCCAGCTTAGATGAATTTGACTACCTAATGCATAATATCTTCATTCCTCACTATTCTCGATGACTCATTTGGGGGGAAAAGGAGTGCATTTCATCATAGCAGTAGGCAGGTTCTTGCATCTATTTTATGGAAATATCTGTCTAGAATCTTTGACTTAAAGATAGCCACTTTTGTCACATGTGTTTGAGCATTTCCTTTCACATTCATCTCATTTTATGTTTTTTAGAAACTTAGAGGTATGGCTATATACTTGTACTTTTTTATTTTTATGTGGGAGATTGGCATACATTGCAGATTCTTATGGAGAATGATGTTGCAAGCAATCCATAAGCTGTAATTAAAAAAAAAAAAAAGGAAAGCTTAAGGAATCTACATTTCATGTTCAGTATACTAGAGGCAACATTAGTAAATTGGTCCTTTGTTCTTTGACCAAGGGACTAATTAAATTCCTTATCCTGTACTACAACAGTTGGAGTTGATATGAAAAGGGATTGTCTTTGACCTTCCCATTCTGATAATCAGTTTAGCTCAGAATTTTATTTATTCTTCCTGGTAATGAGAACTTATTTAATTGCCTTTCTACAGTCAAATTTTGCAACTCTGGATGAGAAAACTGGAATAGTCACCAGTAGGAGGGCTGACAGGCACTTTGAAGAAGAAGGCCCAATACTGTGTTCAGCCCTAGATGGAATGAAGCTTCCTTCTTTCCCCCAATATGAAGTCAGAGTCAGGTGTTGATACCTAGTACTGCTATTTTTTACATTTATTTCTAATGAATGCAATTACTTCATGTGGACAGATTTATCATTTTCCATATCCTTTTCAAATATAACTTCTAAATAGCAGCACAGTTCTTTGTATCAATAAACTCAATTTTGTTTTGGAGTGGTAGCTCATGTGGTTGGTTTTTATTCACTTTTATCTAGTTTAAGGATTTTGTTTAATATTTTCTTTACTCTCAACCGTTAGGTTGATTAATGAATGATTGAAACATTAGAATTCAAAGGTTAATGTAGAGTTGCTCAGTAAAAGCAATAACTTTCATTTTTTTTTTTGTTGGGGGGCTATATTTCTCATAGGTATGCAACAGAGCATAGATGTGGCGTGGTTGTCAAAGGACCAAATTTGAGTGGAAACATATCAGGAACTGATCCATTGAAGGACAACCGCTTTCTTTGAAAGCAAAAGCTTTAGATGATTCTCAAGAAGCAAGC